CTTCGAGACCATGCATGTATGTTGTCAGTATTGCCCTCTGAAAATTGCTTCCCATTCTCAAGTATACCAGTTCTTCCTATTGCAATAAAAAACGTGCCCATATGTTCACCAGGGAATTGCATAAATATTTTTAGACAAATGCCTTTCAATTTATAGCATTAACAGTTCAATAGTAATCGAGTCCAAGCTGCGATCGTGTTTTGTTCTTTAATGTTTAAGAAGAGTAACTAAATGCTTTGGACGCGGACGGACTCGCAGATATAATTGGGAAAACAAAGAGTTCATCAACGATGAGGGACGGAAAATATATTCAGCACTTTGAGCAGGAGGCGAAACACCATGTGAATAAGTAAATTGTGTTTACAGCAATTAGTAAACCAAGGCCATCATGAAGCAAGCACCCTCCAGAATCCTCTTCTGCAAGTAATGGTGGTAACTTCAGTAGTACCGAGAGCAGTACCGACCTCGTGGTACATACGCACCCACAGCAAGTGCCGTCGTCCAATACGAAGTTCTCAATCGTCGATGCGGCTCCCGGGAATCTTTATCCATGAAAGTCTCTCGACGATTACGACAGGAAATGATTCCACCCGACAGCTATCTCGACTCAAATTCTGCACAGGGCCTGGTCGCGCCGGCAACACAAAACGAGGGAGTAGAGTTGGAGTAGCTTCATCCGTCACGCATGGGTACTTTTCTTATAGCTCAGACACATAGCGGATGGAATTTCTGGAGATCTTTGAGAGAATCGTTGGAATTTTGGGGCTCGTGCATGGATCTCAAGCTGTACAGTTCCTACTCTCGGGTTCTTTTTTTTGTCATGTTTACATTGACGTTTCCTCTCGGGTCTGTCAGCATGCTTCCCAAAGAACATGCTTGGAATTTATTTCACGCGTCGACACAGACCCTGCGAAGAAGTAAGGAAAAGCGTCTATGGCGCTTGGAAACCATCCAGGCCGTAAAATGAAAATGAATGAGATCGGGGACGGGTGAGACGGGAGACACGAAGGAATTCGCACTTTGTCCTTGAGGTCTGTTGGGAGGAGGAGGAGGATAAATGTGACTTTATTCCAACCAATGTATCATAAGGGGCAGCGGTAGCAGAAACACAGTCACAACGTGATGGGCAAGTCTCTGAGCCATTGCAAGGCTTCTGGGGAGGCTTGGTGGATCTCTGATAGTCCTCCTGGGAAGGCGAGGTCTGGGCACTCTTCTGCGATGTGTTTCATTGTCTGCACTTCGCCGCAGGTGCAGAGGGGGGATTCGGTGTATCCCCACTTGTGGAGGAGTCCCGCGCACCTTCCCTGTAGGGTCCTGAAGCGGTTGATGGAGACCCACTCCCTTCTGGGGAGGTCCATGCCTGGGGTTTCAGTGATGGGATCTTCAATTAGGTGTGAATTTGCTGGTGGCTTTGTGAGCCACTGCTGTTTCCAGGCGATAGCAGGATCGAAGTTGGATGACCGGATCAGGTTGCCCTCTTGCCAGAAGGGTTTCCTGGACTTGAGGCGAGCTCTTGGAGGGCGAGTGACGTCATTGTGTAAGGGTATCGATTGAAATAGCGTGGCTTTGCGATGTTCCCTGAAGGTTGCCTCTTTTCTCCTGATGTCTGGCGGAGAGATGTGCGAGAGGACCGGGAGCCATTCGACTGGGGTGGTTTTCAAAGTCCCTGTGATCATTCGCATAGTTGAGCGGAGTTGGGTGTCTACCGCCCGTGTGTGTATGCTGTGTTGCCAAACAGGGGCACAGTATTCGGCGGTTGAGTATACTAGTGCCAGGGACGAAATCCTAAGCGTTCGAGCATCTGAACCCCATGACGTGCCTGCCAATTTCTGAATGATGGAGTTTCTTGACCGTAATTTAGCCCCTAGTCCCTCAAGGTGTTTTTTATATGTTAGGGAACGGTCTAACGTTACACCGAGGTATCGGGGGAAGGGGTCATGTGATACTCGCTCTCCACAGAACTTGACCTGGAGTTGAGTTTTGGCCTCTCTAGTGTATAGATGGAAAGCGCAGGCCACTGTTTTGCGGGGATTGGGTTTCAGGCCCCATGTGGAGAGGTAATCTTGAAGAATTTCTAGGTCTTGGTTTAGGACATTCTGGGCTGTGATTAGTGAGGGCTCTTTAGCGGTGACCGCGATATCGTCAGCGTATAGGAACTTCCTCCCTGTCGTGGGTGGGATATCTGAGATATACAAGTTAAACAGGGAGGGAGCGAGCACCGAGCCCTGTGGGAGCCCATTTTTCTTTCACGTAGCGATTTCCGGTGACCCAGCCTTCGCTGGGTTTTGAGCAAGAGAAAGAATCCGAACAGAAACCCATATTCCAGCCAGAGGAGAATAGACATATATAGAACAGCTATACCGCCTCATTTTGCCCTCCACCTGACATCTAGCAGTTCATTCATTGTGGTATGTGTCAAGTGAGTCTGTCCGATTCAGGTGATAATTGATGGAGAGGTTCATGAGTCAAGGAGGTTTTTTCCCATGCCACAAGATGGCGCTGCACGTTGATGTCGACAGGAGCGCCACCTATCTAATGCTATGTCATTTTTTAGGCATTGGGAAAAATTTGTTCATGCCTATGAAACTCTCTGCCAAATATCAGCTGCGTCCGAGAGTTCATTCAAAAGATATGATCAAAGTTGAATGGTGACATGTAACAATCAAATTTCGTTTGGTCATAACTTTTTAAGGAATCGTCAGATGCAGCTGATGTCTCACAGAGATAATCATGGGTCCTTGACTTATTCGTTCCCTTACCCGGCACATGGTTCTACATGTTGACTGGTGGCTCTGTGGTGGCATAAGCAAAGATAAGAGACGGAGAATAGGAATTGGCTAAAAAAAAAATTAAAAAAAAGGTATATGTCGAGCATTCACATCGCTCCCACCAAGAGATAGTGAAACTCTCTGTGCAGTATCGTCTAATGTTGATATGCTGTTACAACGTATTACCAAAATAGAAACTCTGTCAACAGAGCCTCCGTGCTCCTTCACATTTCACCTTTGCATATGTTATCACAGCACCCTCTATCAATATGCACAAATACTGTATGTGCCAGGAAAGGGAACGAATTAAATCATATGCAAAAGAACATCTCTGTAAAACATCAGCTGCATCTGTCGACAATACTTCTCCCTTGGCCCTAGATATGCCCTCTATGTTGAGTTGGCATATTTTTAGAGGAGGAGATGGACTCACTTGTAAAAGCAGGTGGTCCTGATGAGGACCGTTTTGGGTGGTTGGCTGATTGGGAGGGTGACAAGCACCCTTCAGTCGTCTGGTTGATGGCATTGGTCGTCAACTAGGTGTGAAACACTCACTAGACATGCACCACACAGGAGACTTAACAGGGAGCGCCACGAGAAGGCTGCCATCTTGCCCCCCGGTCTGTTGGGAAGGACCTCTTCGCTCCTCCTAGCAGCTTTTTTTTCGCCCTAAAAACATATTGGAAATTGTTGCTTTCATTGATTAATAAATGCTTTAATGCGTGTCAAAAAATTTTATTCGGTGTCACGCGGTCGATCCATTAGTTTCATCGACTATATACAAGAAAGTGTATATCTGCGAATTTCTCAACCGGAAACCAAAGAGATGAAGAGAATGGCAGCTCCTTCTCTCTGTTCCGAGAAGAAACTTCCCAGAAACGAAAAATTATCTATTTCAACGGAAAAGAAACGTATTCCGGCAATTTATACGTGAGGATGTAGGAAACATGGATTCCGCTCTAAATGGGATTTCCCTTTTCAGCGCATTGTGCAGAAACTCTCTTTCCCTTGCCTTAGTCAGAATTTTTAAAGTTATTTTTTATAATGTTGTCCTCATTAATATTGTCTTTTAGCAGAACTTTATGTTATAATGGTGCTTGCAAACGCGAACGAGTGTGCCTGGCAAAGCACACCATCATGGGCGTAGAACTGCAGAAGAGACAAAGCAAATTTGGACACCATTAATTTTTCTCTCCGAAGTCGAGAGACAAATTTCCTTGAAGCCGGCCAGAAGTAGACTCCTCGCTTTTTTCTTCTCTCCACCACGTGCAGTCGTGACGACATATTGATATAGGTAATTCTCCGAAGAGAACGATAAGAGTGCCCCTTTCCATTCGTCCCTCCCCCGCTTTAAACACACTTACTCGACTCTTCATAGCTATTACGAACGCAACTGAACAATGGTAAGTTAGCCGTAGTCGCAATACGAGCAATAACAAATCGATCTCTATCTCCCTCACTCCCCTTCCTCGAGGAGGTTGTAAGCAACTTCTAATTACAGTAACTAATGAACGCTCCTCATATGAAACACCTCCCATTGACACTCATATGAAACACCTCCCATTGACACTCATATGAAACACCTCCCATTGATATGACCCTACCGTGTATAATCGACCCACCTCGCCTCAAGCGGGGGTTGGAATCATCCTGAAATGAAAGCAAATGAAGAATCTAGAGATTTCCTGTTCATCGTCTGGCTGAAAAGCTTTTTCATGATTAATGAGGATTCTTATGTCCAAAGGTTTCCTAAGTTGTTTTCGCGACATATTTCGCTTTCATTCCCTGTTCATTTTCGCGATGATTCTCTACTTTCGCTGCACTGCTAAAGGTTTCCTGCTTGCAATAATTGATCGATTCGTTCTGTTCTTAATATTGGATTTGCACTGAACCTTTGTTTCCATGGCGACCGCCTCCACTCTCATATCTAAATGATCCGTCTGAGCACCTCAGGTTCAGCTAATGCTCCATATATATGAACTCGGAGGAATTGGGAGAACATAAGAGGCGCTCCCGCGTGTCTCATTGCAGAGCAATTCAATTTTAACCGACAAAATCTCATTAAAAACTCCATTTCACGTCTTGAAGGCATGAATCCCAGATGCAAATTCGGAGAACACGAGTCGCATGTCTCATTTTCCCTGCGTGCACAGATCCGAGAAAGGTGACGGAGGAAGCACGGCGATGTAGAATCTCCCAGTGACGCTGAAGACCTCCATCCGGATACCCATCATGATTATCCTTTTCGCGTCCGCGCTTTTCTTCGCATCCTTGTGCAATGCAGGAGCAGAGCTAGAATTGAATATCGGGAGGAAGATAGAAGAAAATGTCATTTCTGAGCTCCTTCACCGTGTCCTCGACGTGTCTCTAACGTCCCATCAACAGCTTTTCCTCATCAGTGAAATGGAAGATGTGGACGTGGTGATGGGGCGTGACGACCTGACACGGACAATCTTCACATCCATCAAAGAAATGAAGGGGATGGAGTTCTCGAGCAGTAGAAGCGACTTCTACATCGTCTTGGGATCTACGGAATGGGCCGAAAAGGTCCTCGAGGCTCTTTATTCCATTCGACCTGAAATGTGGTGGACGAGCAAGGCCCTCTTCGTGCTCGAGGCTCGTCCAGGGGATGACTGGATCCAGGAAGCTGCCAATCTCATGATCCCCATAACTGTGGCGAAAAGAATCCGGCCTGATATGTTTGCCTTCTATGCCGTCTGTCCCTTCTGCAATGGCTCTCATCCGGGGATGCAGTATATTCAGATGTGGAGGCCAGGATCCAAGGGTATTTCCAAGAACCTCTTTCCAGATCTTCTGAATGATTTCCACGGGAAGGAATTCAGGGTTTCGGCAGCGCATGCGCCATTTTTCTACGAGTGGTCCGCGAATGGAACGATGGAAGACTGGACTGGCTTCGAAGGAGCAGCCCTCAAGGCCATGGCCCTTCACTTCAACTTCCGGGTCATCCCAACCCCGTACGGATATTATTATAAATGCTTACCCGACGAAGTTAAGTCTTGTAACCTGCGTAGCAACAACCGAATAGAGCTAATGATTTTTTCTACCCTTTATTGTTTCTGATGAAGGTTTTATTTGCGCGCCCGGAGTGGTAAAGTTTATCTTCATTGTAAAGTACTTTGGTACAAGCACTAGTTTTATCATTCGTAATCGATAATTGATGGGCACGCAAAGTGCGCAGACGAGCACATTCTTCTTTGGACTTAAGTAATTTTACTTTTTTTTTAGTATCAGGATACTATTCATATATCATTTCTGTAGCCAAGGAAATATACATAAGGTGTCACTCATCATACAGGACGTACTCAATTTCTCTATTTCAAATATTTTGTCGATCCTCTTGTTCACGACTTTCAGCCATAAGGATCGAAATTGCATCAGATAAATATAATTACCGTCCAAAATTCACAGCTAGTACCAAAGCCATGTATCTCAAGTGTTACTGGGGCAAGAACCGATTGTAAATGTTCATATTTCATATTTCCTGTTCCCCCAAGTTGCCCTATTGAAAGAAACTTTTGAAAATCACAAGTGGAAACGAACACCAAATGAAATTTGTTAGAAATCGTAATTGTTGAGCTTTCATCATAACTTTGTGAATAATGAATAGTGTTTCTTCCTGCGATATTATGCCTATTTTGAATATTTCATGTGAATGCACAAAATTCAAGGCTGTTTTTTAATATTTGTTTTTGATTTAAAGGTTTATCAAAATCGTTGATCAAATCGCACAAATTTTGTCCACCCTAAAGCATACCTTGTATAACCTACTCATGAGATGTAAACTAGCTGTAGCTATCACTCTCCCGAAGCAAAACATTTTCAGGGCAAAGGACTCCTTGTCTTCCTCTCCCTCCCACCCCTCCGCCCTGATAAAAAGGAGATTTTCTCTAAAATGATTATTTCCTCAAAATAAAGTGCCCGGAGAACTATTTCTGTACCGAATTTCATCCTTCAATAGTACCTGTCATAATAAGCAAACCAAATGACTGATGCTATCACCTAAATAGGATTAGGAGATATTGCTTCAATGATGTAACATGTTTTGCTCAAAACATATATTTTGCATTGCTTACTGGGTTGGCTCATCTTTGTTCCACATATTTTCATTCATAAAATAGTATCTGAAAAGTAGCGGTGAATGGATGTTAGTGTACGTTCATAGGGGTTTCGTAGTATTTTTGCAATCGAATTTGGAAATTGCAGTTACCCTTTTCTCATAAGTATATTTTCTGAAGATAAAGTTTTCAAGTCTCCCACGAATATTATTAAACCTCTTCGTAATTGTTATGCTTATTTACAGGGGGTCAAATATGGGGTGGTCTCAAAATAATAAAACAAAACTCAAATGGTATATTTGACTGTGGGAGATTATGAGCTCTCAATGTGAGTGCAATCGCTTGCAACCACCTGACACGGCTGAACAACGAAATTCTGGGCAATAGCTTCGAGAGCCTCTTTGGAAATCTTTTCAGTTTCACTCTGAATGACGTACTGGACCTCCTAGATGGTTCTCGGGAGGCTAACGTGAACTTCATCTTCATTGTAAGAATTGATTGCGTGGGTTGGGATCCGAGATATAAAGAGACCAGTCGAATCCATATGTAGACGCCATATTCTAATCCAAAGAAATAGTCATCTCGTGGAAATGTTCGTTGGAGAACTGAAACACCTCACGTGTGCGATAAGGCCTCCCACCGTATTGCATGAACCAGATTTTTTCCTTGAGCCCCAATCCCATTACAGCTGGAACGAAATTCCATCCGTGTCCGTCTGAACTTGCGGATGAATCTGCTTATCGTTGACTTCAATATCATTCCATCCTCGTCGCAGAATGCTCTTCTCACTGACTCCACACTTTTTTTTTATTACTTAGAGTATTATTGCACTATAAAAACGCGTCGCTCGATGATGTAAGTCGCCATATCTATTAAAATGTCAGTAATAGAAAAAATAATAATGCTCAAGCGAGGAAAAAAAACCTGCATTTCCTGGACATCCTTGCAACATTTGAAGGTAATGCACTCATATCTAACGAAGATATGGAAGATTCTTATGGAAGCGCCCATTATGTCAGACCATACCCTTCTTTAAAATGGAAGCTATATTTCGATTATGAGGTGCATTCTTATAAATCCATTTTTCTTTCTACTTTTGAGTCGTTCCATATCGATTAAGACAGTCTACATATTAAAATGTGATTGAATGATACAAGTCCTTTAAATAAATATTCTTCCCTTGATAGCGCAAGAACCGGCGTGACGGGGAAACTCGTGAACGGGACGTGGGATGGTCACATCAGGATGATTTTAGATGGGATAACAGAGTTCGGCGTTGGGAAAATCTCCCAGACCTGGATCAGGAATCAATACGTCCATTTCACCACTATGGTCACGATCGAGGCCCAGTCCTTCATCGCACAGAAGCCGCAATTATTGCCCTACTCTGGCACCGTCTATCGACCGTTCACACCTACCGTCTGGATCCTTTGCGCTATCTCCATCGTCGCGATGGGAATTACATTTGCCCTTTGCAGGCAAAGGTCATTCAATGGTCTCAAGGTAGAGGATGAGATCTTCATGGCCTACGGGAGCTTCATGGTCAAAGGCTTCCGGAAGCTGGATAACGAGGTGACAAGAATGCGATTGATCAGGACGGTTTGGCTCATCTCTTGCCTCTTTATATCTCTTATATACAATTCTGTGATATCGAGTTACATCATCTCCCCTAGCACAACCAGCCCGATAAATACACTAGAAGAAGCTGTCCAGAGGACCAATATCCCCTTTACTATCTTCCTCGGCAACGACGCCTTAATTCAAACCATTCGGGAATCTGACAACCCAACGTATAAGATCGTAGCCAGTCGCCTGAAATTGGTTCCTTCCAGCATTCCTCGCGCAACCCTCGACAACATATACATGGACGTGCCGTTTCAGTTGGACCTGGAGATTTGGAAGCAGAAGGAAGCAGGAAATCCCGTATGGACGGAGGTCCGCATCGCTGATGAAACTTTCACGGCAATGCCTTCTGCCTGGCCCATCCGCAAGTACAAGCCCTACAAGCCCAAGATAGACCTCTTCATCCAGCGCCTGCACGATGCCGGGCTCTTCAACAAGTGGATGTCCGATAGCAAAATACCGCTTGGGGCTTACTTCGCTCTCAAGGACGTCGTCAGCGTCTCGGCTGAGGTCAAGCGGATTTCATTCGGGATCGTTCATGTTCAAGGCATCTTCTATGCTCTTGCGTTTGGATTGACATTGGCGTCGTTCGTTTTCATGTTAGAGCTTGCGTTCCAACAAAAAAATCTAAAAATTGTCAAAATGCATTAAGCCTTTGAGGATGTCAATTTCGGTGTAAAAAATTCCATTCGCAGCACCTCTCAAGCACCTTTCTTTGCAGAGGGAACGATTTTTGCAGTCAATTGGGCGCTTTAGTTACGTTTTAAAAATTAGTTCCTAATGTACTTGTGTATTGGAAGGTCTATGGTCTACTAATGAGCCCAAGGGAATTTCGGCTTCAATCTAGAATTATAACTACCGGCAAGAAAGCTTTTCTTTCTACAGCACGAGATCAGGAACGCACTGTGAAATTTCTTTCCGGTAACTGAAGCTTCTTGATCCTTTCATTTTGGACTTCCTCCCCCGCACCCGATATAAATATTTCATTTTTTCGGACATGTAAGATTTCATGTTCATCACACCTGCAAAATTAATGTGAAGAGCCTGCCGTGCGGTCTTAATTTTTCGCAAACTCTTTTGCATGGGAAAAATACCCATCCGATTAGAAAAGAGTATTTTCATGTTGTATTGTTGCATTCACATTATATGCGCTAGATGTCCATAGCATTTTATTGTAAAACGTTTTCCCTGTACACTCTGCATGTCGTTCATTTCAAGCACTCATATAGTCTCTGGTTGTGTAGACAGTCTTTTATTTGGAAGGTTCTTCACAGATGGTCCTTTGCTGTTTTTTCCCACTTCATGAAACTAGTTTTCAAGAAAGATAGTATGGAATGAACCAGCCTTGACTTAAATAAGGCTGTCTGCGGAAATTGAAGACCAGAAGGAGGGAAGAGTTCCGATCTTTCTGACCTTCATGCTTGACATGGAGAGGTGCATGTGTGCTATTCTTTACGCTTCCACCTCCATCTTTTAATGGTTTGCGCGGGTCAAATACGTATGTCCGTGAGACGCATTCGTCATACTGTTAAGAAAATTGTCAGTAATTTCAAGAGGCTTGATATTCTCGCTGATCTTCATGAGTATTATCTGTTCCAGTTTTTTCAATGCCTCAAATTCCGTCATCTTGATTTCTAGCGCAATTAGTGACGCAGGAATCACGTGATTGTGGGAATGGGTTCTTAAGTTCGCGTCACGAACACATTTCGAGATTTCTGGTGATTCAGCTCACTTATCGGGGGAATCTTTTACTGAGGGGTCTCGCATCGACTCCAAATGAAGACTGCAAGGTCAGCAAGTTCGGAACTCTTCCCTCTTTCTCCTCCTCAGTTTCTACAATCGGCGCTGCTAAAGTCAATTCACGAGACGATGACCTCGCGTTGGTTGCGGATGTGATGTTCGTAGTTCACGGAATGCGAAACGTGTTCGTTTTCTGCATGATCCATGCTCGTATTGATTGCGCTCACGTCTTTTAAGCCACTCGGGCTGAAGTGAATTGAGAACGCTGTCTCGGCATCGTTTCGCAAAATCTCAACATGAATGGAAATGTCACTCGAAGCGGATTATAATGAAATCTCCCCTGCCATAATATGCGTATACTCACATTGCCAATTTTTTCAGTAAATTGTCGATAGTCATCCTTTCCTCTTCTGCTTGTTTCATTACGACGTGTTTTCCCATACTTATCTTGATGACGATTGTTCTACTCATTTTTTGGTTGCGTTTTTGCAGCGATGCGGACATCAACACAAGTGCACCCGAAGCTTCTCAACATGCGATTCATCCAAACCATTAATGCACAATACATTCCGCTCTCCATCATGACAAAGTTCCGGCTCCTCCAGTCTATCAAAAGAAATAGGAAATGTAACGAAATGCAATGACGGGACGCAGGGATTTCACCGTGCGGTAGAATTCATCACCGACCTTAAAAACAATACAAAGGTTTTATAGCATCCGTACATTCTTGGATAGTTTTATAAGTTGTTTTTGCGACCCGCTCCTTATTCTTAATTTCTTTTTGACGATGAGACTCAATATTCCCTAAGCGCCTATAATTTTCTCTCCTGGAATAATTAATCACGACATAATTAATCCTGTCAGAGAGTTCAAGACAACGCCGAGTGCTGGAAAGGTGATGGCAACCATATTTTGGGACGTTCACGGCATCATTCTCATCGACTTCACTCCACATGAGACTGTGAATGCCGCAACGTATCAGTTGACGTTGACACGACTGAAACAAGCGGTTCGACAGAAGCGGCATGGACTGCTGTCACATGGAGTGCTTCTATTGCACGATAATACCCGCCCGCACACTGCTCGCTCCACGATGGACCTTCTCAGCACCTTGCAATGGGAAATTGTTCACCACCCACCATACCGTCCAGACATGGCGCCGTCGGATTTTCAATCGCTTGGGAAGCTGAAGAAGCATCCCGATAGAATCGTTCCGCTGAGGGACGGCAACCCTGGCAGAGCGAGGGAGTACTGCCGAACGGATTAGGATTAGATTGGGATTGGAGACCATTTACTAGCGTGGCTGAATTGCATCACTCGCTGGGGAGTATCAAATAAACATTTTTGAAGGGCTCTTCAAGTTATAATAATGCTCTTTTATTATTTAAGGGAATACAGTATTGCCAAATTAATATCTTTTCGTAAATTTACCACACTCATTGCTTTCCACAGCGAGCCAGTTTCCATATTGGGATCGGAAAGGCTCAGCAGGCATATGGCTAATATCGACGTGCATGAATGTTTGAGCACCTGCCGAGCATTCGTCGCAAACATACTAGAAAGCGTTCTTGTATGTTTTTCTCGTGAAATATATATCATGCAAAACTCTTCAGATTAATCATAGATGATTCGCCAATAGTAATATCTGTAATCCTCTGCAATGATGCATTTTTTATGCGAGTCTTTGCCCTGTGAACTTTCTTCGATAAGCATCGATGGAGAAACGCTAGATTACCGGGAGATTAGACCATCAACCGTTCCTATCCCTTCATCAGTTAGATGAAGAACTCCTCAGTCTTGGGTCTCTCCATGTTTGCACTGGACTCGGCCTGTCGCGTGTCTTTGGTCGATCGTCTGGGCAAACATGGAGACCATGCCCGTTTCTTCTGAGGACCGTGGGTGACCGTGTTCACGGGAATTTTTCTCCTGCGATGGAAGCCATGTGCATATCATGGATGTCTCTTCTGGATTGCAAGGTTGGTAATTTCATTCAGACTACCGGGTAAAAAAAAAAATCATACCTTCGTTTCATTATATACTTAAATCAATTTCTCCTGTGTTTGCTTATTATTATTGTTATATAACCTTATGAGCAGCTCATCATTACCGAGGCATCGGAATCGATACGACATTAAGGGTCAACTGTCTACCGTGGAGGCTGGAGCATATAATCTGGTGGGGTATTTAAACATTCTAAAAAGTCAATAATATTAAACTTCACGAAAACCATCCTGATTGAAAAGGAGCCAAGCGATGGCAAAAACGAGATTGCAGAATGGGCAATTTCTAAACTTCGGGGTCGTTTATGATTGCACGATTTAAAAAGATTTCAAAAGAAGAAATTTCACCTTCCAGATGAAAGAGTATAGGAAACGAGCCCTTCGGCAATGTAGCCACTTTCTTGGAAAAATAAGTAGATCTGAGTCATGGAAAATATTTCAGATAATGCGAGTCCGAGTCTTCTGCGAAATCCGCATGGCTCCAGTCATCGTCCCTATAGTTTGACCTCGAAAGACATCACATAAATAATCATCTCGGCCGAAAGTGATGAAACTGATTCTCCCGAGAGCTATTTCTTGAAATAGTCTATTGTCAAGTGACATCCACATTTCCCATTACGTGAGAGAGAAAGCCTCGAGCAGATTTTGCAAAGCAGCACTTTAATTAAATAGGAAGGCCGACAATTTAAAATCAGTTGTAAATTGATTATGATAACTTGAATGCGAACATTTTTTAAATTAAAAATAATTATCATAGGGGATGACCTCTCGATTGCAATGGGCTAACGAAAACCTTTCGATTAGGAAACATCACGGGTCCCGTATCCCAGATCAAATAGATCCCATCGGTGGATGGTGTGAGTCGCCTCAACTTGAAACAAGGCAGAGAGTTTGATACGAATTCGACGTCTTCCATCCGCCTGTTATAAGAAGAATTAAAGCCATTCAATCCGCAAGCATGTGCAACTCTTGGAATTCCATATATGACTATTTCAAATGGGACCTCTCGATCAGAGTAGGCAAAAATAATGCAGTTCGTTAATGCGTAAATGTTCTTCTCATCGATCAGGTACAGATGGAGCTAGTGTCGTATCGATTAGGTTTTCTCCTTATCCACGTGGATGTAATAAGAGAGGTGGTTTTCTCGTTACTCATCGCAGTGTTCCATTGTGCTCCAAGCAGGTGAGTCTAACGTCTCTCGTGAAATGCGCTATGCCCCTTCAAAGCGTCAATGAAAAAATCGGTAGGATCAACGTTGTCATAAATTGACGCCCATTCAATTCTTCCAGATTCTTCGCTGATCAAAGTATCAAATCATCATGAAGTTACTCCTGGCCTCGATTCCTCTGGTCTGGGTGGCGTTGGCCCAAATCTCGACTGTCAGGTATAAGTTGCATAAGCTCGGCATGATGGTGATGAATCCTCTCATGCAACTTCAACTGCCGTCGAGCCTCAGCTGCGCTTTTCATTGTGACATGTATATCGGTTCAAATTTCATATTGACATATGCCCAGGTCGTTTCATGTAAAACTAGAGCCTTTTCAGGAACTCCACCTGCTACACTTTCTCTGTGACGACGACCTCTGGAAGCTTCAGTTGCCGGATGAGCGGATGGAATCCGAAACTCGCATCAGATCCCGGGAGCGAATATTTCGTCGGAGAAATTCCTCAGAGTAAGATAGTAATAATTAATGTTCCATGTTCTTAATGTCATTAAAAATTAGAACTAAAGGGTCTAATTGTCTTTATAGTTGCTGAAACGTAATTTCGCGTTGGGACATATTTATCCCAGGCATAATTGTGGTAATCAACGCATTTTAAATAATATTCATGCTTTGGAAGCTTTAATTACCTTATAAAATAAACCAAAGGATGAAGCGTTTACTACCAAATGAAGGATTGAAAGTCAACTGATTCTGTTACGCGAAACAACGTGAAAATCACCTGTCCAGGTGATGACATTTCATCGTCATGAGGATTACTTTATTACTGTAGGCATGTCATACTTCTAATGAAACAGTGAAATTCATCAGAAAGATCAGGCAAGAAAAAGTACAGAATGAAAAAATTATTCAAAATATTGCGTACCGGACATTTTACCTCGTCGATCCGCCGCTATGACCTAGGCCTCAATTACCTTATCCTAAAGCCCGATGCCTAAAGGGCTATAACTTTTTCGGCCATACGCTAGGCAAAATGACTCGCGAAAGGACACAAAAACGGAGATTTCCGTGATGAAAAACGTCGATTGAAATAAATCATCCGATGGAAAAAGTATCACTGTGAGCAACCCTAACCGTCTGATTCCAACAGTTTCCATTTTTCGCAGCATACCTTCCAGTGCCAAACACAACGAGATACATCAAGATGGTGTACGAGCCATGGTTGCTTCAGAAAGATCCGACGTACGTGAACAAGAATTGGAACCAATCTCTGGCAGCCTGCAAGGCTGAGGGGGCGTGGCTGGCCATCGACAACGACGACACGATCCACAAATACCTGTACGATCTTCTTATGGCCAATGGAATCTATCCCGACTATAAGTGCCTCTGGATCGGCGGCTATTCCACGATCGACAAATGGCACTGGGAGCTTCTCGATGGCAAGTTTATGGGCGGATATAAGATAGGTTGTTGCTTCTCATGACTTCAAGGAATATCGTTTAAACGATGTTCCTTTGGGCTTCCGTTTACTCATTCCAAGTGGTACATGTAGAAGATATCTTAATTCCATGTATTTATGTCTTGCTAATGACAGATGAAACCTGATGGAATGACGTGTGGTTTTAATTGAGGCGTTCTCTTGAAAAAGAGCGTATGTTCAAAAGATGTAATTCGAGATGACCGATAAAACTTCCCAAAGCCAATCTGAAGCTAGTCAAAACCTAATTATCAGTAAAATGGAATCTCATACATTTTGCAAAATGAACTTTCCATATCCTCGTTGCTGAAACTTTTTCCAAAGAGTCTTTAACTACATGTTTACTTAAATGAAAATGGCAGGAAGGTAGCATATTTTCATTTGATTTTGTCCCGTTACGCATGAATTCATTCGCAAGGATCTTTGCCTCCTGAACCAAAAAAAGTCACTGGATGAGACCTTCAACAATGGTTGCTGCTCTTTTTTATTCAAAGTGTACCACTTTCGAGGAAATGATGCAGACGTTCTGAAAAAAACCATGCTATTGAGAACATGATGAAAAAAAAAGTGATATCATGAGGATAACTTCCACATCCAATCACAATTTCAATATCCATCATTGAGTTCCCCGCCAGTCATATCAAGGAAACTCAAAGTTTCCGTCGTGACCTGATCATTCTGCCTAGAAAACAAGGCTAACCAACGGTAGCCATGGTAAACGAGGCTTAGTCCTAGGTCACACGGTAGCTTAATGATCTCATCTAAAGAGGAAGACCTGGTGGCATTCATGAGAAATACTGAACTCCAAGTTAACTTTCTGCATCAAGATTGGCTACTCACTTCATGACGAACGTGGGCATTTCTTCAATAGGAACGCAGATCAACCTGACTGGACTAGGACAAGGGAAATTCGCACCAGGGCATCCGGATGGAAGCGGCGGTGGGTTGCATTTTTTCGCAACTCTTGGCTCATATTGTTGTGGATTTTGGTCGGATTGGGATTACCTCTCTGCCTGGAGCCCAGGAGGCTACTTCTGTGAGATCATGCTACCTTGATTCTCGCAATTTCCTTGTTCCTCTTATCAATGCAGACGAGTGGACATTTCAAGTGTCAGTATGTGGTGGAATGAGGGATTTCTTGCATCCTTTCTTATACATTGGAGGAACCTCGTATGAATCTTATACCAATATTTGTTTTGCAAAATTTCGCTTCGCTTTTCATGAGTTTCTCTATTTCGACTAGTGGCAGATCAAAGATTTTAAAGTGTGGAAAAGGATAACCATCGTGGTGCTTCAGTTAACGATTCCCTGCAGATTTCCATCGCCTATTGCAATGGTGACTTCGGGCTTCAATGTCCGAAATTTGGGAGGGGTGGGGTTTAATGAGCACCTATATTTGTAAGAATAATATAATGAAGTCTCACGGCTGATTACACCAAGATTGTTAATGACTGAAGTACGTGATATGGCTGTTTCTATGAAGGTCGCTCACGCATGTTGTCTTCGTATTATGCCTCTGCAAATACATGTCGCTTTCGCACCTGACAATAAATAATAATATTCTCTCCCATTGTGATGATACAATGTTCTTGGAGCACTTGAAGACCGACCTTGTCTTGGAAAATAAACAACTTCGGTATTTGAACTACTAATCCAATTGATGTGTTTCTTCTTGCAAACATATAGAATATACAACAACAGGTCGGTAACAACTAAGGTCGGACGAAACGTAAGTCGGAGTCTCTCTAAATGATCATTTCATTATCCATATGTCTTTCCTTGGATGTCCAGGAATGGTGAATCGTACAACTGGCTCTTTGAAATGTAAATGTCCGTTATAAACAATTACACGCATTTTCTTTTTTAAATATACCACATAGCCTAAATGAATATCTTTTGCATTTCCTTTTTATTCATCAAGTCATTGTGGCAAGTTTGCAGAAATAAATTAGCATGAATAATTGAACTCGTGCAACGTGCTGCTATGGAAAATGCGAGATATTATTTTCTCATCAAGCATCAATCGCCCAGTAATTGCGCATGTGCATTCCCATAAATGCTTGCAGCCTCGAGATCGAAAATCACTCATTCATCGTGTCGAAGACTAGGAATTCACTAGGAAATCCTTTATTCCCCACATTAAGGAATTATATAGAAATACACGGTGTCCCAAAAGTCTGGAACCGATGGCGATTCTAGTTGTGCTCTATTCTAGTACAATATTACGTTGGGTTTGTTTAACTTGGCTCTCCCTCAGTGCGAGAAGAAGGCGACGCTTACACTCTCAGCTGTGGACGTCGTTCCGTTTATAATCATAGGATTAAAGGATTATATGCATGAGGATATTCCACCCTGACGTCCCATGAGACTAGCCTTTTCCACCAACTTTCCTGTAACACCTGCAGCAGGGTATCAAGTCATCATCACAATTGGCATGGCTTTGCAATAGTTTAATTAAGACAATTATCACCATCGAATATCTATTTTACTATAACAACCAAACACACGGTCCAAATTCGGCACCTATACCAATATTCGAGCGGATGGCACTATGAAACCTGTGGGTATTCGATGTGGCCAACCCACTGTCACTAACACCGCCTCCATCCAAGTAATGAAATGATAAACAACAAAACGTAATTAGACGACAGTGTCAGAATCTGGCGCAGTATGGCGCCACTATGCAATTCCTGATCTCCACGAAGTTCGCGGGACGGCCGCTGTAAACCCCACAGCCAGAAGCCCGCAGGCGTAAGATCCAGTGACCTTGGCGGTCAGGACAGAGGGAAAGCCCTGTTGATCACACGGTCCTGGAATGTATGTTGAAGAGACTGGGCGTGTCTCTGATCGGTACAGTGCCGCCCTGGTGATGAAATCCAGAAACCTTTTGGCAATCCATGTAAACTTGGCTGCCATAAATCCCATTGGATGTATTAATATATCATCTATGCCGAATATAAATTTTCTAGACCGCACCGTATTGGAGATAGAGCCTTTTGAAATATGGAAGTATCATAACTTCATGGACACTCTGTACGTTAACGATCGTCAGTGACTGTCTGACTAATGCTAATTCTAACCATGTTCTAGAAATAATGAGAGGCTGAAACATACAGGGTAGTACACGATTGTGAACTCCAGAAAAATTCGAACTTTGGATGGGCATGCCTTGGGGCACCTTCTATGGGGGACTGATTTCGCGGGCCAAGGCCCAACCAACGGACGGATGCATAGGCTAGAGCTACTTTAATACACCTCATTGCCTGAGGTAGAGGAATAAAGGTGTCCTTTTCATGTGAACACCTACAGTGATAGCTGTTGGATTGCTTACATCAGAAGACTCTTTTGTGCATGTATTTTTTGGTTTAACGTTGAAGAAGATACTCTGCGGTAGTAGTCCAATGTTGCTTTGAAGCGGTGGAACATTGGACAGATTAAGTGCCCTTGCTCAACATTTTTGCCGTGCTCTACAATAGTCACCATGCACGAAAGGGATAGACAACGACATTGCGCCTAAGGTGGAATAATTTATCAGGCCTATTTACAGCCTTCGGACAGACGCTCAGGTCTATATCAATCCTGATCCATTTGCATCCATAAACTTCCCTGCCTTGTGGCGTTTGCCTTCCATGTCACATAGGCTAGGTGGAAGGACGGGGCTGATGCGGACTGGTACGCTTTCGGATGCGAATGAGTTACATGTTGCTCTGCTAGAAGACCCACGTATCTTCAAGACACCCACTCAAAACTTGTGCAGTTGCTGTGATCCTACATTTCATAATTTAGTTTCGAATCTGGAAATGGGAATCTTCTGTAAGCTTGAGATTCGTCTTTGTGTTTTGGGGAAAATCCATGTGCATTAAGCAATGAAATTGTTCATTTAGGTCTAGGGTCTTCGGTTCATTTATATTCGTTTAATTTCCCCAGCAGTACAACACAATACCATATGAAGTAGGAACTTCACTGAAACGAGAAAATTGTGTCCACGTCTCATATCGCCAAATGATTATTTTTTTCGAGAATGGCTTTCTCCCGCCCGGCTTGTTAGCGTGCTCTCCCCTATAACAAACAAAATTGGGTCACGTTAATCACATCCACTTTGTTCTTTATAATAGTCGCACCCACTAACAGTCTTGTTCTAGTTCACTGAAGATGATATGTCGGAGATGGTGCAAATTGCAGGTTGCCAATAAAAGTAAGAATTTCTGAAATGATGTGCCTACGGCCATCATCCAGCATACCTTCCACCCCTAAGCTCTGAATTTTCACGTTGATCAACCTGCACGTGGAGCCCTCGTCAAAGGGAACGATGGATATATTTAATGCATGTTGACCTTGAATGTTATCGCGCTTCGTGGACATGCGATGGTCTAATAACGGTACTCTAATATCTCATATTCCGTTCTTTAAGATCGACAGATATCCTTTGGAGACAAAGGTCCTTATCTTACACGAAAGCCGTGTCGTGCCAGGACTGTCGAATAACTCCGAGATATGATATGAGGCCTGCATGTCTACAATACGAGGGCATATCAGTCAAGTCCTGTAACGTTATCTCTCATCACTCTAATATAATAGAAGACAGGTCCTGTAATAGATTGGCGTTGAGAACGGGGATCTTCGCATGATCCCTTCCTGTATGAGATGACCGTGATGTGAACGCTTCCAAGTTTCCTATTTCTGGAAAAATGTCAGATATGTCTTGTACGATGAAAGTGCTTGAAAGCACCCCGCAATGGTTCACCACCCCCCATCTCGAAAAGCCAGAGGGCCTACAAAGGACAAGTTGACGCTAGCTTCTCAGTGAGGGCATGCTGCTTGTCAATCGAGAGCTGGTTCAGTTTTTTGACGAAATTCCGCGCCTTGGCACGCCGTCCTACGGACGCTTCTTGCTTAAGTTCAAGTTCTTCGCTATGCCTTTCTTGCCACCTTTGCGAACAGCGGAAAGACGTTCCATTTCTCCTCGAAAGAGGGAGCTTTTCTTTTCTTCATATTACTCACTGTGA